AGACCCCACTTTCTCTGAAAAGGGGAAAGACAAAGTGATAGTGCAAACGTTTCTGTGCATGTGTACATGCGTGGTTTTGTACTTGAATGAGACCTATGCATTTTACAGTGAGGCAGCTCCAAAGCAGCTTTTTGAGATGTGTCAAAACTACGCCGTATACAATACTTATTTTACACCTAGACATTTTTTAAAAAGTGGATTTTGTAATAAGAAAATGCAACAAACAAGAAAGGAATACAATAGAACTAGAATAATGGATGAATATACATCTCATTAAAACTAAGGATACACATTATATGTTACTTAAAAGGAACTCATTATATATATATATATATCTATATATATATCTATATAAACTATATATATCTATATATAGTATATATATAAACTATATATATATCTATATATAGTATATATATAAACTATATATATATCTATATATATCTATATATATAGATATATAGATATATATAGATATATATAGATATATATAGATATATATAGATATATATATACATAGTTTACATGCATGATAGCAGAAAAAATTAATCCTGTAGTTACATTCTCATTAGGATTAAGTTATTTTTAATGGACTAATTAAATATAAAGTAATAACAAATACAAGATAAATCCTAAAAATTACTATTAATACTACTAGATTTTGAATCTAGTGTTACATCCTCAATACTTTAAAGTTAATTAATTAAAAATTAAGTATGTGTAGTTTCTCCTCTAAATTACTATATCAAATAATGGCTTATTCTATTAAAAAAAAGAACTCATGACTACTTTAAAATACTGTTTCCATTTTTTAATTTATTTTTAAGAGTTATAGAATTACTTCATTCTCTGAGTAAAAATACTGTTTTGAAAATAAAATTTTCTAGTTGTTTTATATATTTAATATTTCTTTATGTTTCCTATACTTTAATTTATTCATATTTCATTATTGGTACTCCATTTATTCATCTCTCCATCTACCTATTCAACACATGTTTATTATACACTGGGACCAATGCTTAAGCATCAGAATTATAACAAATATATATAAAAGTTTTCAGTCAACACTGTTCTTTCACATATACAATGTCACTTAAAGAAATATGTAGACTAAGTCTAAATAATTTCCTAACCATACATAATCTTAAAAATATATAAGAAATTTTAAAACAAAGGCTAAGAGAAGCAAATGAAGTTATAGAAGACAAAATGGTCTTCGTTTGACTGCTGTTGAGTCAGCTAATTTCTTAAAAAGTGCATGAAAAGAAGAATTGGAAGGTTGGGGAAAATGTAAATGTAGAATATATTTTCCATGAAACAAGTTATAGCAAAATAATGTTAAATAGTAAAATACTCAAATTCATTCTTAGAATGGCTCTACAAAATACCAAAAAGCATGATACATGCACACATGTATATACACAAATATGTCTATTTATTTGTTTATTTGAGGACAGAGGTGTTCTTTGGAGGCAGGATCTATAGGCACTCTCAGTAGATAAAGATTGTGCTTCACAACTGTTTAAAAAGTAACAATATTACTATTATGCAGTGTATAGTATTATTCTTTCCAATCACTCCCAAAAGCTCATGAACAAGTACATATCTGTCCCACATTGAGATACACATGCTTTGTATATTCTTATTTGAAACATTAGTAAATTTATTAAAATTTATTTCACTAAATATATGTTTTCAAAAATATATCTATGAAAAGAAAAAGAAAAAAATCAAGGAATAAAACTTCCATGATTTATCCTTAATTTTCCTGTAAATTTTGCTTCTGCTGAGACATCCTCACTCTTCTTTTTAAATTTATATTTTAGCCAAAAGATTCATCTAAAACCACATCTCAAATCATGTCAATCACCTGTTTAAAACATTTATGGAGTTACTTGACAATCAGCATTTGAAATCGGCATGGCAGAGCAGAAGGTAAGTGAACAGGGGTTTGTATCACTTTTCCAATTTTATCTTTTGAATCTCCACTTCACAATCTCCTATCCTGCTCATCTATCCATCCATACCTTTGCCATTTTTCTTCCCTAATCTAGAACACCCTCCTCCATCTATGCCTGTTGCAATTCTACTCCCCCTACTTATCCAAGAAACTTTCCATGTCAGAAATAATCTATCTCCCTCTTCCCCAATATCTCCCTCCTTCTCTCTTCTTCCTTCCCTCTCTCTCTTCCATATGCTCCTTTCTTTTGTTCCTCTAATGAGACTGACCACATCCTACGTTTTGTTACAAAGATTTGACATATCTCCTGTAATAGCTACAAAACCTTTAAAACAAGACCATTTGTTATTTAGTTTTATTACCTCACAAAACTTACTTTTGTGTGGCTAGTAAGGGGATTAAAGAGGCTCATAATTGGGATTTATATTTTTAAATAACATGATGGAAGGATGGTTCTAATCTTATGCATTTCTCTGCTCTTTCCTTATAAAATGTGAGCTCCAAAATGATACTTAACCATTGTTATATTTGAAGTTTCTTTAATAATAGATCAAACATCATAACTAAAACCATGAGCAAACATGTTAAGGGAAATCATATTTTTCCAGCATACAATTTTACTCAATCCACTTGTTGAGGCTATTTCAAATGTGAAGCAGTCCCATCTGTCCAATAGCCTACAGTAAACTTATGTTTAGAGAGCCACAAAAATTACCATCATGAGAATGCAAAAAAAATACATACAAATATACTATGGCTATGTTATGCAAAAATATTGACTTTGGGATATAAACTAAATTAAAGATTATTCAGTATAATGGCTTGTATCTTCAATTTGTCTTTCTATTATTAGGTCTAGAGAAAATTGGGACACTTCAATTTATGGTGCATGATTATTGATGAAAGTTTTTACAGGTGCCAAATATCAGCATGATGACAACTGGATAACTAAGTTTAAAAATTAACTCAAAGAAAATGTGCAGTGGTCTGCAAGAACATTCTCCTTATCCACCTGGTTGTTTTAATATTGTATAGAGTTCTTAAAGGGCCACATCAATCTATCTCCTATGTCATTTGACATCCAATATAATGATTTTGATATAATAATCCACTAATTATTCAATTATCTTGTTTAAAGAATTTTCTCTAGACGATATGAAATTCTCAATTAAGAAAATCACAGATTATGTCAACTTGTTCCTTTAAGATCATAAAGCATACCTTATGAACAGGAATATTTTTATAAAATTATTTAAAAAGTAAAACATGTAATGTTAATTTTTAATATTATGTATGTAAAGTCATATTATTTCTGTGTTTCTTGCTAACACTTTCATTATTATAATTCCTTGTACAAAAAATGTCCTTAGTAGTATACATTGAAAGAAAAGTGCATTACTTTAAAATCACATATTATAGGGGCGCCTGGGTGGCGCAGTCGGTTAAGCGTCCGACTTCAGCCAGGTCACGATCTCGCGGTCTGTGAGTTCGAGCCCCGCGTCGGGCTCTGGGCTAATGGCTCAGAGCCTGGAGCCTGTTTCCGATTCTGTGTCTCCCTCTCTCTCTGCCCCTCCCCCGTTCATGCTCTGTCTCTCTCTGTCCCAAAAATAAATAAACGTTGAAAAAATAAATAAAAAAATAAATAAAAAAAAATAAAATCACATATTATAACTTAAAAACTTTAGGTTAAGAGTGAAAATTTGATGAAATTAATTTTGTGTGGTCAAAGATATCTTCCTAAAAAATCCACAGTAAAAAATATTTTTAAACATATCTTGCTAAACAGTCTATGTAGTTTATTTGTAAATGTTTGTATTTCTATAATTTATTGTGATATTTCCTAAAATACTGTCCACAAAATAGTGCTTCAAAAAAAAAATGTGAGGCACTAGTTTTAAATGCAGACACCCCAAGATTCCACTCCACGGTTGGATCAGAATCTTTTGGAGTGAGGAACCTGGGAGTATGCATTTAAAACAAGTTTTCTCAGGTACACCAGACTTGAGAAACCTACTGGGTCTATCTGAAACCATGCCTCATTATATTCTTAATGTTATGTTAGAGTCAGCAAATGGATTTTCCCCAAAAAATATTCTTTCCAAATGCTCATTCTTACAATTTCTAAAGTGCCACTCAACCGAAAATCAAATGTTTCCAAATCCCAGAATATTTCATCTCAATTAACAAATGAAAGGGTTTCTTTTGCTCCTTATTCCCAGTTGTCCTAGTGTCCTGAGCAAAAAAGCCCATGACACCCACTTCGCACCTCAGGACACGGACCTCCAGTTTCCACAGGTTACAATACTGAATCCCGTTCACATTAACATAGCTTTAAGTGACACTGGGCTCACTAGCCTTCGACTCTCCTGGCACAGCGGCCCCTTCCGAAAGCCCGCCAGCTGCCCAGGCTCTCCAGTTCTCAGAGACGCCTGGCTCTGTCAGCACCTCCGACAGCGACTGGCGGAGCGGGATTCCGGGTTTCACTGTCCAGGAGCCTGCCGTTACAGAAGCCACTGAGACCAAGGAAACTGACCCGAGATACCCTTGAGTACACAAATCATTGCCCCTCGTTCTCTCCAGCTGCCAGCATCTCTTTCCAAAAAAACAACAAAGGAAACCTTAAGTACCTCTTACCTAGAATATGAGCCACCCCCACAACTCGCCTCTCTTCCCTGGTTCCCCAGCGCCTGTTGCTAAGGAGGCGAGATGGCACTAGGAAAGCCTCAGGCCCAGGTGACAGACCGCTGGAGGAGCTGGGAGCACGAGGGCTGCGGTGAAAGCCAAGCGCTAGGCCGGCCTAGGACCCCTTCCTTCCGCAGGAAGGGTGCGCCCTCCGCACGGAACCAACGCCAACTACGCCCCCCGCGCACACCGGGAGGGTGGAGGGAGCCGCACCAGCGAGAGGCTGGCTCCCGGAGAGCCGCTCCCTCTGCGGGCCAGGGAAGATCGGCCCCGGCAGAGAAGGCCTCTGGCCCAGTACTGTGGGCCCAGGCAGTGGGGCAGGGGCTCGGGGACAGCCCTGGGGAGGGAGGGCACTCACCATGTTGACTTCGGAAACCATGTCTATGCTGGCGATATCGATGTTCATCCCCACGCAGACCGGGGGACCTGCGGGAAGAGCACCACACAGAGATCAGCCAAGCTCGGGCACGGGGTGCGGGTGGCACTGAGGAAAGCGGTGCCCACCCGAGGAGAGGTAGCAGGTGAAATACCTCCCACCCACCCCCCTCACTCCGCCGCAGCTCGGCTTCAGCGCCCCCCACCTCCCTCCACCACCCAGGCCGCCAGCGCGGTGGGTCGCGCATCCCGCAGCGGCCGCGCACACCCCACTTACCCCCGAAGTCGGGTCTCAGGCGAATGTCGTAGCCTTTCAACAGCTTGTCCACCGTCTCCTTCACAAAGGACATGTTCCCGGGATCGTTCACGCTGGGGGAGGGGGCAAGGGGCACAGAGAGCAGGGTCAGGCGGTGGCTCACCCGCCAGCGCCCGAAGCGTACACCCGCGCGCCCTGCCCGCTGCCCGGCCCGCTTCCCATCCACCCACCCGCGACCCTACCTCTGGGCGCAGCACACTACAGCCACCAGCACTGGGGCCGAGAAAATGCCGAAAAGCCTTCCTCCCGCAAAGCCCCACATCCCTCCGCCGCGCCCCGGCACGGGGGAGGGGGCGCCCCGCCGCCGTCGCGACCCGCAGCCGGGGCTGCTCCTGCTGCTGCCGCCGCCGCCGCCGCCGCGCTGGCCCTAAGCGGAGGAGGGCGGAGGGGGAGGGGGAGGGAAGGAGGGGGAGGAGCGGGCGCGAGGGGAGGAGGAGCAGCAGGCTGGGGAGCGGAGGGAGGGGGAGGAGGCAAGGCGAGCCGGAGGCGGAGCCCGCTGCGCCGAGCACCCTAGCCTCCCCCGCGCTAGCCGCGGCTGGTGGCCCCGGCCCTTGGCGCTCCCTCCCGCCTCCGCGGCTGCGGAGCGGGACCTGGAGCCCGGCCGGGGACAGCAAGTAGTAGCCGCGGCTGTGCGGCACTGAACAGGGCCGGGCTCGGCCGCGAAGCCAGCTCCGCCGCTCTTGCTGCGACCAGGCGAAGGACCGACGGCGACACAGGCAGCAGCGGTGAGGGAAACGCCATCCGCTTCCCCCCGCCCCTTTCCTGGTCCGACCCCCTCAACGACCCCCGCCCAGCTGCGACGCAGGCCAAGAATCAGTGGGTGCTGTACAGTGCCTGTGCCCGCAGGTCTGCGCGCTACAGCGTCTGGAAGGAGGCTGCGGGTCGGGGGAAAGCCCCCACCTCACCTGCGGGGCTCAGAGCCTCGAATCCCCAGAGTCCAGAAGAGCCAGATGGGCAGCAGGAGAGCCGGGAGCCTGGAGCACATGGCGTTGCTCCTCCGACCGAATCTGAGTGGGATCGGCTCTCCCCCACAGCCACCCAGCATTCAAACAGCGACGCGGGGATCCCCGCCCCTGCCCCCACCCACGGGCTTTCCCTCCTGACCCATCATCCAGCCCCTTGCATGGCGGCCGGATTAATTATTTATGCACCATAAAACCATTTTTAAAAAATCTGTACGTTAAACTATTCCTCTCACTTCACCCCTGAACATTTCATATGAGCAATGGGCCCTCCCTGCTCATATAAATACATTTATGATGAATGGTAAAGAGAGGCCTGATCATGTACACCTTATTAGCAGTAAGGAAATAAGTAAATTGGAGTCCAAATCAGACCTGGAGACCCTGGACTGTTGTTCCAGGGTTGGGAAAATAACTTGCCTTTTCTGGCGCAGCCTGGAGCTGTCCGTGGTTCTTAATATAAAACCGTGTGCCTAAGGGGTGTCTGTTCACCCATGACCATGGGTTGCATATTTTTCTTTAGTGAATAATCTTCAATAGTTTCTCTGTGCCTCAGACTTCCAATATTGAAGAAGATGGTTACACAATTCTACTTGTGGTTAAAGAACAAAACCTACAAATCAAGTTCACTTTTGTGCTTGATAGGCTTTCTTGAGCCATTCCAGGACTTAATGAATGGCTAATAATAGATACCTGCTTTTCTGTATTGACTTATTTTTTTTTCTGTAAAACTTAAAGTTTTCTTTTCTACTGTCAAGACTTCATGTAGGTAAATATCTAAATCTAGACCTTAATTATCAACTTGGCATGTTTCTGTGCATTAATTTTAAATATCATTGCCTTTAAAAAAATCAGCAATTTTATTTTTGGAGCAAAAAATGTGACTGCAGTACCTGAAAGGTTGATATTAAGATAGGTTAAGAGATAAATATAGCCCCCTAATTGTTTTATGGAAAAGTCTGTTCACAACTACTTTGTGTTCTGTGTCCTGTTAATGTGCAATGGAATTATAAGAAAAATGAGGTCTATGTTATCATACCTTCCACTCTACATTATGTTTTAGTCTATGTCTCCTATTTGCATATACCTCTTAGAGAAAGGCCCTGCTGGGGATCACAGCTATAGAAAGTAAACAATGAGAATAAGGTGTTTGAGTACAGCCAATAACATAATAAATATTATCCCCCTTTCTACTACTTTTATGTTCTAAAACTTGCAAAACCACATTACAGATGCAATTGTTATTTAACTGTGTACCACTTCAGATATTGGCTTTAAGCAGTCTCTGAGGTTCTTGCCCTTATTTTTCACCACAGTTCTACTTTAGCACACAGATGCATAAAAGCTCTGATCAGCTTTACCAGAGAACAAACTTACATCCATCACCTCGTGTCCACATTCCTTGTCTCTCACCTCCTACTTTCAAGTTTCTCACTTGACAATGAGGTCTAAGATGCTACAGGACTTCTCAGTACTCACATATGTGCAATCTGAAGTTGCAGGAGAATTAGCGATTCATGGGGTGGAATTTGACAAATGGGAAGTGGGAAACAGGTAGATAAATAATTTTCTCTTTATTGCACCTAAGAAATATCCTGAGATGCAGCAGTAGCTCCTATGTTTTCTCTCTTCTTCCATGCCTTCACTCCTGTTTTCATCAGTATTACACACTCTTGTAAACTGTAGCATTTACATTTTGCCTCAATATGTTTTCTGGGGAACCCAGGCTAAGTCATCACCAATTGGCAAATTACTAAAAATATCACCTAAAATGATATGAAGACAAAATCAAAGAGAAAAATTGTGGTGAGTGCATGCAGGTGCAATCAATGTTCATGGGTTATAAGACTCATAATAGTTGCTGCCCAGCTTGCACTTACATAAACAACAGAGGCTGGACATGCAGCCACTGGACCCACCCTCCTGCATCAGCTCCCTCTCACATAGCCATTTTGGAGGGTTGGATGAGCACTGAACCCCAAGCACCTCCACCCTTTGACTCTTCTTGCCAGGATTCCTGAAACCAAGAATAGTTACATATCTTTACTAGGTGGTGGTAATGTATTAGCCAAACCATCAGGAAATTATTGATTCACTTTTCACTTTATTTGCTACTGAAAGAAAGGAGATGGGGTTGCACAATGCATAAATTTTCATGTCAGAAGAAAAAGGAGAGGAATGCCATTTTTTTCATAGTAAAGTGGTTATAAATAGACTGGAATAATATTTAGGGGGTCCATAAGGTAGGAAGAAGGAAGAGAAGAGCATCACATGATCACTTTATCTGCTCCATATTTGTGCGTTTTGGCTGAGCCATATGCCTTTCACCAAATTGTCTTTTGTTCAGACATAGGTGCATCTTATAGAGAATCAACCTGGTTGTTTAAATAGTATAAAATCTTCTGATAGTATATTTTAAAGCTCTGTGAAAAATAACTCAATTAATTGGAGGTAGAGCATATGAAATAAAGTGTTAAATGTATAGTTAGATGAGTTTTGACAAATGTATTTCAAATGTCATTCTCATCACCCCCAAAATTCCCTCTCAGTCCTTAAACCTACATGTCATTCATAGGGCTTGTAGACAAGCACTGACCTAAGTTCCATCATTACAGATTTTTTTTCCCTAGCATTCCATATAAGTTGAGTTATGCAGTATATGTTATTTTATGTCTGGATTATTTCTTTTACTACACTGTTTCTGGTATCTATACATGCTGTTGCAGACCCATAGTTTATTTCCCTATTTTTTAAAGTTTATTTATTTATTTATTTATTTATTTATTTATTTATTTATTTATAGAGAAAGGACGGGAGGGGGGCAAAGAGAGAGGGAAGGAGAATTGAAGGGCTCAATTGTACAAAATATGAGATCATGAGCCTAAATCAAGAGGTGGATGCTCAAATGACTGAGCCCCATAGGCACCCCTATAGTTTGTTTCTCTTGACTCCTGAGTGTGTTCCATTGTATAGCTATTCCACAACTTATTTATCCATTCATCTGTTATTGAGACTTTCCAGTTTCAGCTATTACAGATAAAAAGTCATATGCAGGTCTTTGTATGGGTATATGGCTTAATTTCTCTAGTGTAAATACCTAGGAGTGTAATATCTGAATTGTATATAAGCTAATGTTTAGCTTTATAAGGAGTTACAAAATATTTTCCAATGTAATTGAAGATTTTATATTTCAACAGCAATGCATGAGAATTGAAGTTGTTCCACATCCTTTCCATCTATTCTTTTTTTTAAATTTTTTAATGTTTTTATTTATTTTTGAGACAGAGAGAGACAGAGCATGAGCAGGGGAGGGGCAGAGAAAGAGGGAGACACAGAATCTGAAGCAGGCTCCAGTCTCTGAGCTGTCAGCACAGAGCACAACGCAGGGCTTGAACTCACAGGCTGTGAGATTATGATATGAGCTGAAGTCGGACGCTCAACCAACTGAGCCACCCAGGCTCCCCATTTCCATCTATTCTAGCAGGTATATAGTGTATGTAATTGTGATTTTAATTTGCATTTGCCTGATGACATGTAAGTACACAAACAAGTATATTTAA